TTTTTTTTTTTTTGTGAATTTGTAGTTTCCGTATAATAACTGAGCCTACCTCAATCCTAAACAAAACAACAAGTCGAACTTTTTTATGCCGACCGGTTACACCATTTTAAAAAATTAATAACACTTCGCTTGAGCGCATTTGGGTCAATTTCCATTTTTTTATAATATTTTGTTAACTAAGTGTCTGACGGTCGGCGTCGGTCTTTGTTGCAGAAAATTAAATACAATTTCCTTAGGCTGCACAATCTTATTTTTCTCGACAGAAATTCTAACAGTAATTAATTTTTATATATGTTCACATTTCAACCATAATCTAACATTAAGGAGAAGAAAGAGAAGGCACGATTTTTCTCAATTATCTTTTTCTTGATTAATTTCTCCTTAAGGAATTTATTAATATCTCAATTGTTTTATTTTTTAACATGGCCTTGAATTATGTCGATATCATATAACATTTGAAACCATGGCTGAAGATTTCACACGGCAAGAGCTACATAATTGTCCAAAACCCATTACATGGGTATTTTCATTTTATACAGAATCCTTTTTAAAAAACATATGCAAGTCATTTGCACACAGTGGTTAAATTTAATTGCAAATGGGGAAGTATTTCTCACATGCACATACACACAAATTAACGCATAAACATGCTGAGTGTGCAGCCATATGCAGTCAATTTCTATTTCCCCTCTTATTGCGGCTCATCTGCATGACACGGCATGGCTGATCTGTTAATTCTCTGGGCTGGTTGACTGTCTGTCTCTTTTGATTATTTCCCCACATTCACATTGGCAACAACATGCCAACATGTTTTATGCTCTGTTGTCCCCTCTGTCTGATGAGAGCATTTGTTGAGCGAACACATGTTGTCGTTGTTGTTGCCGTTGTCGTCGGCAACATAAAAGGAGGAGATAACGAAGCCAAAACAAAGCCAAACACACAATTCTAACCAATAACCGAGAGTTGTGCTACAAACAGAAACAAAGCAACATTGGCTCCTCCCTTTTGGCTGCCAAAAGAGCGAGAGAACAGCCAACAACGACTTCATTTTGCAATGTTGCCCACGAGATGTGTGTGGCTGTGTTGAGTGCGTGTGTGTATGAATGTATGTATGCATTTGGTTATGGTAGATGGATAAGTGAAGCATATACATATACGTCAAAAGTAAATACATAATACTGTTGGTGTTGTTGTTGCTACTGCTCTTTGGTAGTAAACTTGGGACAACAGTCTGTGGCAAAATAATTAAGGAGATTTGTTGGTATTTTATGTATTCTTTGTATATAATACAGTAAGAAATGAATACAAACAAATAATTGAGGTCATTCGGAGTTGTTTAAAGTATTACTTAAAACATTGGAGTATAAAAAAATTTTAAGGACACACAAATTGAAATTTCTGTGCAATTGAGGTCATGGGAAAAACATAACTTCTGCTGTTAGTAATTTTTTATCCAAAGTATTAGCTGAATCATACTCACCATTTGCCTGTTTCGAGTAAAACGCATGAGGGTTGAGGTTACTGAATTCTCTGTAAATTTTGCAAAATTAATTTCTAATGTTATGTATCTATTAACATAATAAGTGAAAACAATGTAAATTCTGCATCCGGATATCTCCGAAAATTTACCAACAATTCTGAACCCGAAAATTACCAAAAAAAAAAAACAAACAACATACCAAAAACTCCAAAACGCTTAAGCATAATGCCGACAATACATATCTAAATTTCCAAGGCAAGGAAAAAATCGCTTTTTAATTTTTAGGTGGAGTCGTCGACTTTCGGCTCTCTCATGTCCATTATTTAATTAAAAAGAACTGCAACTAAATAATATTGGTTTCCGCTTAAATTTCCTCAGCCATTTGGCTACAGAGGGTACATGTTAATTGATATGGCCAAAACGTGCTTAATAAAAATAGCGGTTTTATACCCTAGTTCTTTTTGGGCGAAATCCTTTTCAGAGCATTTGAAGTCAATCTACGGATGTCTGTCTGGCTGTCTATTGCACACCAACACAACAATCTGGGTACTTCGTAATATTATTATCAAACTTATATTAAGTTTGGAGAGGGGCAATATCGGACCACTGCTTCTGGTATTTCCTCCACAAAAGGTCAATATTTTCACAGAAAATTAATTTAGGTCATAAAATAGGATCATCAGATTTTGTCAAAATTTTGGAAATCTTAATATTATTACCATTAATGGATCTCTTCAGAAATTGCACAATATCGGCCCACTCTATCAAGTACCTACCCCACAGAATTTGGCACGAGGAACGGTGGGACGAACCACTTCCTTTTGTACCTCAACCACAAGAGGTTAACATGAATCTCACAAAATGCGAAAAAAGCATCAGATTTCCTTAACATTTCACACATTCAAATATGTTTATTAACATAAGATCTGGTGTGAATATCGTATGTATCAGCCCTCTCCTTTTAATAAGTGTGGATAAACAAAACACTTTTAAAATGCCGAAAATGACATTCGGTTCTATTCTTCCTGCAAAAGATCTTCTGCTACCTTCACCACGTAATGTCAAAATTTTCAATAATTTGGTATCATAATTTGCGAAACAAGTCAGCGATTCTTTTTGAATTTGGAATATCTTAATATTTTACTCAACCACAGATCTGATGTCAATATGGAATTTATCGGTCCCCTCCCTCTCGTATCACACTCGTGGAATAGCCTTAAATTTCAGACTGTTCATCATCCTATCTTTCTCTCATTAAAAAGTTGTATTTTTTTATCCCCGTAACAAGAGTTGACAGTAAGAAACATTAATTCATTGCTCTAATCCATTGAAATTTATTTTTTCCATGTAGTTTACATGTAATTTTCGATACCTTTTTATAGACATTTTAATGAGCCTAGAATTATAGAATTATTTAATTTTGTTCTTATTTGTCTACAATTTACATAGAATGGCTGGCCATTTGGTTGAGAAATTTGAGACTTATTTCATTTGTGGGCTTGAGGTGTTGCACACTATGAATGTGATACCCTACGCGAATATGTGCAAATTGATTGGATGCAAAACAAAAACAAAATGATAATTAGAAAAAAAATGCATAATTACATACGAATACATGCGATGATAGCAATGAGAACAGGATCAGCCACACAACCCAGTATTTGCTGGTCGTGTAACTGGCAATTCGTTTTCGACAATATGCCGTTTACCGCATAGGGCAAAAAATTCTCGTTGACTTGGCGATGTCTGTCACATACAGGGTGAAATAAAAAAAAACTGCAACCAACTTCACACTGCTGTCATTTCTAAGCCAGTCACCGTCCGACAGCTGTTAAAATCATTCCAGTGACAGCTTAGTATATTGTTTACAAGCGTACAATAGCATTTTGCTGAGAATTTTCCAGAAAAAATGTTATTCGTGGTGGAATTCAAGCGTAATAGAGTGATTTCTTTATATTTGGCTGGAAAACCACAAGTGGCTATCGTTAGAGCACTCCAGCATTAGAATGTGAATAAATCTTTATTGTCTCGTACCATCGCTCGTTACCGTGATACTGGTAGTTGACGAAAAAAAAACAACAACATCAGCAAAAATTCGTCGAAAAGTAAAGAAGCGACTTAATCGAAACCCGCGTCACAGTGGCCGACGCGATCTGATCTAAGCATATCGCAATATTCCATTCGGCAAATATTGAAAAATGAGTTCGAGGTAAGCCCATCGAAATTCCAAAAAGTGCAAGAACTTATACCGCAACCGAAAGAAAATAGACTCAAAAGAGCTAAAGATTTGCTTCGCTTGGCCGAAAGTGGTGAACTACCGAATTTGGTTTTCTCCAATGGGAAAACATTCATTATCCAGCAGTTTGTAAACAAACAAAATGATCGTGTTTACTTGGCAAAGAGGTCAGCTGAAAATGTGCACCTTCAGTTGGCCAACAGAACTCAATCACTGGCCATGGTGATGGAGTGGACCGCCATAACAGCCGATGGTCGCTCTCCGCTCGTATTATTCGAAATGCCGAATATTATCGCGAAAATATTCTGGAGGGTGTATTAAAGCCTTCGTCACGCAAACATTTTGGCCGCAGACCTTGGACATTCCACCAGAACCCAGCACTATCGCACTCAGCACGTGCCACCCAAGAATGGTTACAAAATGAGGTTCCTCGCTTCATTTCCAGCGCACAATGGCCACCAAAATCTCCGGATATCAATCCGTTGGACTATTGTGTCTGGAGTATTTTGGAAAGCAAGGTTGGCACTAAAAAATACCAAAGTGTCGATCACTTCAAGCAAGCGCTTCGCCGGAAATGGGTCAAAATACCGCAGAATAACATACGGCCGTTTGAAGGCCATAATTCGTGCCAAAGGTGACCAATTCGAACAAATCTAAACTTATTCTAAAATTTGATGCTATTTCCGACATTTTTTGCTTTCATTCAATAAAATTTAAAAAAATAATGTGAAAATTATGTCGTTTGACTTTCTTGAAATTTTTTACCTCACCCTGAAAATTTAGCATATGCAATGATTTATCTGCATATGCAAAAATATTTTTTCAATATATTCATAAAAAGTTGTATTCCTTCATTTCTAATCATTTGCCGAAACTAATAGCATCTTGGAAAATCCAATTTCTATTTATATATAGAGTATTTCCCAGTCGCGTATGCCCATTCTTTAGCCATGCTCTTTTGTCATGTTTGTGGTTGTAGAAAAAAAAAAAAATGAAATTAAATATGGTAGAATTGTGTAAATGTGCATGTGTCGGGTTCTATGTACAAGGGTCACATTGTATTTGTGAACTATGGCTCTTAGCAAAGCCTTTTTTCACAAAACTGAAGAAGCAATAAAAAACATGCAGACTATTTAAAAAATACATATATGTAAATAGCTGATAATCTCCATGTAAATTTAGATTATTTGAAATTTTATACAAATATATTTTTATTTGTAGGCAAAGAGTTTTTTTTCAAATATTAAAATCATGTCCCCTCTTCTTCTTTTTTTTTCGTTGCAGATCTAATATTAGATTATTGCCAAAAATTAATAGAAAAATTTGGTTATCCATGGGAGATGATGCCCCTAATGTATGTGATACTAAAAGATGCCGGTGTTGACATCGATGAGGCTTCAAAGCGTATTGAAGAGGGTAAGTAGTCCATTGGCCGAGCTCCATAAAAAAAAAAAAACAATTAAAAAATAATACAAACAAAAAACGGAATCCTTAACCAATATCAGTGTTTTCTGTACAAAGAATTAATAAAAAAAATAAAACCAAAATACAAACCATGGAATACCCACCAAAATCACATAATTCCAAACCATTTCACGTTCGATCAATTAGCAAGGACATAAACCCCCTAAACAATTTTCTTACAGCCATACAATTGTTTAAGCAATACGACAGTCTGATAAGCATCTACGATGGACACGAATGGCGTAGCAAAGCAAGTCTGAAACGTAAAGCCGAAAGTGATGCCCGAAACGCGGAATGTGATGAAACAACCAAACGTATGAGAATAGAGGGTAAGCTGTGGTCTAGATTTCCAATATTTCTTTATGGAATTAGAATGTACGACTTTATTGAGCGAGGATTTCAAAACAAACAAAAACAGAAAACACTGTATTCGTTACGATTGCAAAATGTGCCAAAAAAAATATGTCCGCGTATCCTGATGTCCAGTCATTATTTCAATATTTGCATTTTGTTTTTTTCTCTTCTTCAATTCTGTTTTAGGACAACATGTTGTCAATGAATACTCACGTCAACATAATTTGAATATTTATGATGGCTGTGAATTACGTTGCGCCACAAGGCAGTGTGGTTGATAAGTAATTTCACACAGGCCGGCATATTTCAATTGATATTGAAAAAAGCAAAACATGAATGTGCTTGCAAATAAAGTAGTTTCTTTTTTTTTCATTTTTGTTGTACAAATTATTAAATATAATAAAAATTTTAATTAAATTAAAAAAATCAGTTACTACTACAAAAAACATGAACACGACTGAATCGAACAATTAACGAAACAGTAACAAACAAAGGTGCTTAAAGTTATCGTTGTGTAAAAAAAAGATTAAATTAATTAAAATAATTCAAAATAAAATATATTTAACGAGCTTAACAAAAACAATTTTGGCAACTGGCGCTTTGCCAACCTTCAATACCTTTAAAGACAAGCATAAATTAAAGTCAAAAATAAAAAAATACTCACTAAACAACAATCAACATACCAAATGTTCCAAGGATCATCAATCAACATACCCTAAGTTTGGCGGCTAACAATGGAAAAGGATCAAGGACATCATAGCAACTTACTCTACATACTCAACAACCAACAAACCCACAAAGAGGAAACAACACCGGAAATCATAAAAATAACTTTGCAGAATGTCTATTTTTTAAATTAGCCAAAAAAGAAATAATTTTATTTTCCCAAAAATAATAGCTTTGTACCTTTACATTTTTAATAAAAAACAAGTAAAAGAGCGAAATATCAAATTCGCTCTGGGAAAACTCGAAAGAACTCAAATGAAACCTAGTAAAAAAATGTCAAAAAGTAGATGCCAGTCCTTCGAAGCCGGAAACAAAACTAGATGGCAACTCTTAAGAATTAACAGAGCTGGCAATTTTACTGCAATCTTTAAATTGTTAATAGAAAAAAAGATTAAAAGAGCGAAATCTCAAATTCGCGCTGGGAGAACTCGAAAGTACTCGAATAAAAACCTAGTGAAAATGTCAAAACTAGATGGCAGTCCTTCGTAATCAGAACCAAAACGATATGGCAACTCTCCAAAATTAACAGAGCTGACAATTTTGCTGCAGTTTTTTACTCTCCCAAATTTGGTGAGTAAAAAGAAAGAGTAAAAGAGAAGGCCATAATAGCTTTCATTCTCTTAAAATGTGACTCTCCAAAATTAACAGAGCTGGCAATTTTGCTGCAGTTTTTTACTCTCCCAAATTTGGTGAGTAAAAAGAAAGAGTAAAAGAGAAGGCCATAATAGTTTTCACACTCTTAAAGTTGTCAAACAAGTTTTATTAGTTTTCTTTCGAGTACTTCAAAGATTTAAATGCAGAAATCATAAACATTTTAGATTATTTTTTTTTAATTCCTTCACTTAAGGGAACAAAGCTAATGAATCATGCATTTTTCAAAAAAAAAAATCGATTTAAATCGAAATGAACACAAAAAAATTAAATATTTGAAATCTAATATATTTGATAAAATCAAAGAAGGTGTGATCTTTATGAGCTGTTAAAGATAACGAAAAACAAGTAAACAAAGGCTATAGTCGTGCGGGCCAACCATGTGATACCCCACAACACAATAATATGTTGAAAGTCCCCCTATATGTCAAAATCAAATTTGGAATATTTCGCTTTTGAAATGATGTCATAGAGTCCTGATGTCCAGATGTTACTCTTAGCTTTTCGATTTGGGACATTTGCCCAATATTTAGGCACTCCCTGGTATTGTTAGGTATTCAAAACAATTTCACACTAAATCTCTTCCTTGTCCCCTCCCTTCTCATAAAAAATTCCATGTCGATTAGTTTTCAATTATGACATGTAGAGCGAAAATCAGGAAAATTGTAATATTTTTTGGTCCATTTGAACCCCTAAATGTGATGTACATCAAGTCAAAAGACCTTAATTCTGACCCTATCCCTACCCCAATGCAAAATGTTGTGAGGATCGCACGATAATTACGATGACCGTACAAATTGGTAGGCCTCTGCCCAGACCTAAGCTCTAACTTCGTGCCTGTAGAGCAAAAGCAATATTAGGAAAAATTTGGTCCATTTCAACCCCTAAATATTTTGCGATCATCTCAAAAACAATAGGGTTCTATTCTGACCCTAACCCCATCTCTATTTTCAATTTCGTGGGGATCTGTCCATAACTTCGACCTGTAGTGTGATTACAAATTAACATTGACAAACGGACATACATGGGTACATCGACAGAGCTCGTCGAGATAGGAATATTCATATATAGTTTCCTATGTCCGCGACCAATATTTCAAACTGTTACATAATTTTTGGCCCAAACAAACTTAGACGAATATTTAATTTATTTTTATGGAACTATTAAAATTTCTCAAGTACTTCGATAGAAAAAACACACACACTCTTCAATTGTTAAAAAATAAACTAAAAATAGCTTAACTGCATCTTATGGCAGATAAACACAATACACAGCGACAAATGTTGTGGGTTTGCGAAAATCACAAAAAACAAGTAAACAATTGGCATTCACATAAGACATATCAAATTGTTTTTATCAATGGTTTAAAAAATATAAAATATGGATATTAAAAATACTCTAAAATCCAAGAAGTAATAGGTTTACTGCCCCTCTTTTGGCAGATAAATACAATATGCAGCTATAAATGATGCAGGTATATGACAATTTCAAAAAACACTACAACTGTCATTCACTTATGTCACACCTTTGGATCAAGTTTATTTAAAAACAATTTTAAAAAATATGGCTTTAAAATATATTTGAATAAATTATATTCACAAAACAACCAATAGACATTCTGTAAATTTCAATTTGTTTCCCAACGTCAAAAATATATCAATCTACAATCAACAAACCATTGCTCTTCAATCAACAATCCCATTCTTTAATCAACAAACCAATGAATCATCAATCAACATACCCCTAATAACGATATTCCCTTGGATCTTCAATCAACTTTTCCTGGTGGGCGTTAATAACTGGAGCATTCGAAGGATGGAACTTGGATCGTCTACACATCACACACTCTAGTTAAGAATTATTGCAGCTAAGAAACACAAAAAACAGCTAAATTAAATGCATAATAACAATATTGTAAATCATCTTTTCAAAGCTCTCTGAACGATTTTTAAAGGTTGCTAAAACATTTTAAATTATTTACGAAGTCATTACAGAATTTCAATAAAGAATAAATTCAGAAATCATGGCTCAGAGAAAGTGATTACAAGATAAAACTATTGAGCTCTCACCCTTATGGTAAGATAACAGAGAGCATGTAATAAATAGAGAGAGAGAGTAAACTGTTATACCATAGGCTAATGAATATATGGATGAAGGAATGCTCTCGCCGTTTATCCTCGAAAATATCTGAATCAGCAGATGTCGATCATGTCATTTCAGGGGTACGAGTGAAAATAATGAAATCACTCAAATCTAAAATGTTAACAATATCAACAACTGAAGGTTATTTGAAAGTTAAAAACTATTCCAAAATAAGACATTGATGACATCGACATCAAGTGTAATTTTTATACCGTACACCACAAGGTTGTCAGGGTATTATGTCTTTGTGCATTTGTTTGTAACAGGCAAAATGAAACGAGATAGACCCATAGTTCCTTTTGATGATCTGCATAGAATCACATTCTGAGTCAATTTATGCATGTCCGTCCGTCCGTCTGTCCATGTGTTTTTGTAAACAAAGTACAGTTCGCATTTATTGCCCTATCCAGAAATTTTGCACAAATAATTTGTTTGGCCCAAGGACGAACCCTATTGAAATTGGAGATAATCGGTCAAAACTTAGATATAGCTCCCATATATATCTTCGTCCGATTTGCCTTTTATTGTGCACCTAACGTGTAATATCAGTCCGAATAGTACAGCATTACGTATGTAATTATGGCACGTACGATCAGATTAGACCTGAAAATAAGTATGCCAATTTTGATCGAAATTGGTTCATATAAAGCTATAGCTCCCATATATATTGTTCATCCGATTTGTTATTTTTGTCCTCCGAAACAATATTTGGGGAAATATATCAAATACAGCTCAGAAATATATTTGCTAAATTTTATCGAGATCGGTTCAGATTTGGATATAGCTCCCATATATAACTTCATCCGATTTACCTTTGATTGTGCGCCAAACGTCTACTATTTGCCCAAATTGGATGAAATTTGGCACTTACGACCGAATTAAGTCTAGAAGCTAGTATATCAAATTTGGTAAAGATCGGTTCCGATTAGGATATAGCTCCCATATATATTTTTATCCGATTTCAAATTAATTGTGCACCAAATGGGCAATACAAGTCCGAATTTAAAAGATACAAATGCTTCGGCATATTTAGTCCTTTGAGCTTTAAATTATAATTATAATCAAAGCGTGTATGATTGAATTCTCCCATAAAAACTTTTAATTGTTATGCGCAGCTCTACTAAATTAGCAAAGTGGTGTAGGATCGGCCCCGCCCGACTTTAAGACTTTCTTTACTGGTTAAAAATCAAAGAAATGTGTTTTCGAAGTCGACTAGGTCAACTGACTTAATCAGCATGTTGACTATGGAAAAGCGTGCTGAGACCCACCTGGCTAAGAATATAAAACTAACATTCCCTTGTCTATATATTCATAAGTCTTTGCTAATAAATAAATTTGCTAATAATATTATAATATCGATTATAGAAGAGAAGAAAAAATACGTTTTTTGTCTTATTCGTCAAGTAACGAATATAGAGCAGGATCGACATAGTGTTAGTGCCTCTCATAACAGTAA